TAGGTTTTAGGTTAGACATTTGCATGTTATTCGTTAGTCTTGAATCTCTGTTCTGCAGTTTGCATTTTTTGTTTTAGATTGTTAGATTTCAGTCCCTTCTCTTGATTAGGCCTAGCTTAGCAAGTTTTCTGCATCTCAATTGTTTCGTATCCTTTGGATTGTAACCTCTTGTACTTCAATGACATGATTTTAGACTTGAGGAATTGAGTCACAAGACCTAAAAACTCTTGTATCACGGGTCTGATGACTTTGTTATAGCCTTAGAGCTAGAGGTGGTTGCCTTGTGTGCAACTTTTCTTCTCAAATGTTTATCATTGGAACTCTATTTCTGGTCCATTGAAAGGTTTACTTATGGAGCACAACAATCAGCTTGGTCTCTTCCCTCTTTGGTACCTAGGCATTTCCCAACTCCTTTTGACAAAATCAAGTGTATTGCTTTTTCAAGTAATTGATCAATATTTTGAATTATTGTTGAGATACTTACCTTTGTGTCTTCGGGTTGATCTCCTTTCTTGAAACTTGCTGGTGTTACATGATTTTTATGGCTTGATCTCATGTAGGACGTGGTTTCCTTTCTTGGGACGTCATTAGCAATGTGTCCTCTGTTCTTACACTTATAACTTGTGAGTTCTGAAGGATTATTAGGGGCATAATAGTTACCTTGGCTCTTGACTGGTTTGGAGTTTGTGTGTTGCACCAGAATAAGAGTTTGATAACTAGGGCCTTGTTTGCTATATGATGATGGCTTGAGATTCAGCTCTCCACGGCCTGGTCCTCCTTCATATACCCTTGGGAGTTTTCATCTTCAGTCAATGACTCTTCCATTGGATTCTGATCCTTCCCATTCATCTTCTTCTTCTTCACACCATGTTGCATTGGGGCAGTTTGTATACCAGTCTGGGGGCTCATGATCAATCTTCTCAGGACATGGAGTGCCTTTATAGTCCTCTTCTGAACAAGACCACGTCTCCACTCCTTGTTCTGCTTCAGAACATGAATATTGACTAAGGGTCTCATCTTGACTTGAGTCACCTTCATGTGAGTGCTCATATGAGCCTTCTTTTTCCTTTGAATCATAATCCATAATTTCTACTCTATTGTGAGTACCTTGTAAATACAAAGACAGAGATTATCAGAATCAAGTTCACTTAAAAGTTATAAGCAAATAATCTAGAAGAAGAGAATAAACTGAAACTAAAAGAATGATTTCAAATGAACAATATATATATATATATATATATATATTGAATGAAGAAATCAAATAACTAATAGCAATATTTTTTTTTGATTTTTAGATTTAATAGATGCAAAATAAATCAAGAACAAATTGCAAATATTTTTTTGGATTTTAAATGATTCAAATAAAACAAGAACAATATAATTTTTTTTTTAACTTTTAGATGAAATAAAATATTCATAAAATAAGGCAAACAATTTTTATGGATTTTATATTTTATAAAATTCAATAGATAAGACAAAAATAACAAATCAAGAGAAACAATTTTTATGAGTTTTTTTTATAAATAATGAAATAAAACAAAATAATAAACAGAAAATAAAGATAAAGGTTGGATGGATACAACCTGGGGGATATGAGCTTTTGAAGCTCTCATACCAGATGCTATAAGATTGGAATTACTCTAACTTATGACTACAAAATGATCAAGAGAATTTCAAGCTTATGGTGCGGAATGTGAGATGAAGTCGGGATGGAGGTGGAACTAGGGTTGATTGACTCGCTCAATCGGTGGGTTGACTGAGTCGCTCAGTCGGTGGGATGGCTGACTCACACAGCCGTTAGAACTAGTCTTGCCTGAATCACACAAACAAATTTATTTAGAAACAAAAGAATCACTCCATTGAATCTAAAGACAAGTTGTTTAAACAAAGAACACTTTTTGAATAAAAAGAACAAAGTTTTTATATTTTCTTAGATAAAAAAGGGTGTCTTACAAACAAAACAACTATGAGCTTATATAGGCTCAGCACACGTCCTAGACAATAACTCTAAAGAGAGAATTAAGGAAAATTCAAAGAAAGATCAAAAAGAATGATTAAAGGGATTTTTTGACCCATTGATGAGTGATGGGGGGAAATGGCTAGAATCAAGGGATTCTTTGCTGACTTTGTATCTGGATGGCTTGAGGGTGTAAGTGAGCTTTTGTGGGACGATCTTCCTTCTTCAAGGATCATGCAAAAGGCTGAAGTCTTGGCAAGAAACTAGCTTTTGTAGTTTGATGGAATTCTGCTCCAAGAATGGTAAGTTGAGTTTGAATGTGATCCGTCTGATCAGGTGTGGTATAGTGTAACTTAAGAGGTGTGTATGTGTATATAATAACTCCAAAAGGTTGTAGCTTTGAAGAGGTAGCCGTTGATGCTCCTTTATTTCAAGTGTGAACATGTCTTGATATGGTAAGTTTGTAAGCAATAGGAACTGTCTGGTCCTGTGAGTGATGGTGTATGGTAAGGTGCTAGCTAATTTTCCTGATAGGTCATTATCTCTCCAGAATGGTTAGATGCCTTTTCTAGTCGCCAAAGTTTGGTTTGCAAGTGGTTAAACCCGCCAGCCTCCATATAAGACAAGTTAAGCATCCTCTAGTTTAGAAGTTGAATAACTTTTAATCCATACTGAATTTTGGCATGAATCTAATTCGCCTCGGTTCCCTGATGAGTTAAATTCTAGAACCTCCGGTTTCGTTGCTTGATTCTTCGTGGTTTGGCCGGAATGATTTAATTAGTACTCGCATATCTCCATCGGGTCCATTGAAGATCTTCCAATTTGCATTTTCAATATCTTCTTCATATGAACTCTTTTTAAACTGATTCTTCTTCGTGGTGAACTCTGGATGAGTTGAGTATGCTCTCCAAGTGTTGTGTGAGTTTGAACATTTGATATCAACCTCTATTTGAGCTGAACTCCACTCGCATGCCTCTTTAGCTCTCCTCAGCTTCATGTTCTCCACTTCATGACTCCTGGATCCGTGCTCCTTGTCCGATGATGACTTGATGTCTGCATCAGTGGAGGTCCTCCAAGTGGTTGGTTCTAAGTTGATGAATGATATTGTGCTAGGTACTAAAGAAGATGGAGTGGTCTTGAGACCATTTAGCTCCAAGAATGGTGAAGTTTACTACAAGATGAAGCAAGAGGGGAAATCTAAGTCTTTTGTTGTGCTCAAGATGGGTGGAGTCACCAAGAGAGTCAAAGGAAACAAGGTGCCACTAAGGAGTTACAAGACTCCTTCTCCTTACCTCAACTAAGGAGGTAATCAAAGTCAAGCTAAGTGACTTTAAACAAGCACATTTGGGAGGTAGTCCCATGGTATCCTTGTACATAGTTAAGCTTTTAGTTTATGTTTTATGCATTTTTAGTATTTTTAGAAGCAGGAGTTTGGATAAGGTGATGAGAAGATGTTTGGGGAACCAAAGAAGATGCATTTTGGTTAACATCGAGCTCCAACATCGAGCATGCCAACTCAATGTTGGCTACATCGATCAAGGGAGCTCGATGTTGTGGAACCAGAGTGCATCAAGCAACTACATCGAGCATAACATGCTCGTATGGGAAAAGAAGTGTCTTGGGTTGATCACATCGATCACCTACATCGTACGATGTAATGAACCCGAGAGTCAGAAGAATGGCATCGATCAAGTGCACTGTACAATGTTGAACATCAGACATTGACATCGTACGATGTAGATGGGCCGAGAGTTTTGCAGATTACATCGAGCAACAGCATCGATCAAGGCTTGTTCGATGTGCCTACATCGTATACCAACATCATACGATGTTAAAGGGCATAAGGTTTTGGAAGTAGCATCGGTCAGCAACATCGAGCAACCATGCTCGATGTGGAGCACATCGATCATCAACATCGATCGATATGATGTTGCCAGCGAGGTAAGTAATTCAACTTTCAAAAAAATTCGCTCTCTTGGTTTGGAGCCAGGGGCCTGGAGTTTGAATTTAATTTTTTTGGCTCCTCCTTGCCATTCTGACTCACTTATGTCCCCCCACTCCTTACGATTCCTTGTTCCCTCCCTTAGCTCTATAAAAACCAAACTAACTCATCTTCACTCTTCACACTTCTCATTTCTCTTCTCTCACTTAAAGCCACAAAATTTATTTGATCTCTCTCTTTTATTTAGTCTTTGCAAAGTGTTTAGAAGTCCCTAAAAGGTTTGCTCTCTTCCCCTATTCAATTACTTGTTTTTATGGTTTGAACTTTAGACCTTATGAATTATATGCTTTAAAAACTAGTATTGTTTAGTTTAAGTGCTTGTTTTATTTTTGCATGGTGGAATTTATTGTTTAAGCGTAAAATATTTAGAGCTGATTACTGTTCATCAATTTATTAACTTGTTTTGCTTTAAATTCCTTATGCATAATCATGTTTCATTTTGTTTAAAAGCCACCATACTAAGATCATATGCATAAGTTGTTAAAATTTTGTTTAGAATTCTAGCATATTTATGATTTTTGCAATGTTAATTAACTAGCTAGGCCTCTTGTAGATTTGAGAAAAAAAAAAATTAGAGCTTTGAATCATTGCTCTTCATCCTTTGTCCCCAAACTTATTACTCTTTTGAGATTTGTACTTGTAGGTACTATGGAAAAAACACAGGAAACTGCTAAAAACAAGAGCCAAATACCAAAGAAGAAGACGCATACAACATCATGATGCTATCAAACAATACTATAGTGTTTTGATGAACGCTTTATCATCGCCCGCAATAATAGATCTAACACTTTAGATAGCCCGCGATAATAAATCTAACACTTTAGATAGCGATTTTTCATGATGCTATTTTTTCATGCAATCTTATATTATATAATAGCACTGCAATTTTGTTATTAATATTACTAATATAATCGATTTAGGTACAAATTTTAGGTTTCTAATTTTGAAATTATATTCTATAAGCTCTAGTTTTGATGTACAAAGACAAAAAATATACATAATCAATAATAGTAATAATATTTTACAAAGACAAAATACACATTAAATGCTTAAGTCACTTATATAGATTGTACTCATGAATTTCTCAAACGAGATAAAGCCAACATTATCTTCTAGTACAATTCCTTTCTTTGCTCCATCAAAATCATTTCCAAGAACCTTTACCACTTTCTGAAATGCATGAGGAGGAGCTTCAATTTCCGGAAGACTAGATCTGAGATAGCTATATACTAACTGCAAAGGAAATGTAACTGTTTAAGAAAGCACAAAAGACTGATCATATGAAGATTTTGAACAAGGAAGAATGTATTCCGGTGAAGCTAACTAAGAACTATAAATTGTAGATCGAAAATTCCCTATTGTAGACTTACTTAGTTGCTTCAGAGGTTTAATACATAGCTTGGTGATACAAAGATATCAATTATCTGCGGTTTCAAACTATTTTTCTCCAACACTAAGTACACAAACTATTCAAACATAACGCAAGAAGAACAATTTTTCCAAAATAAGTCTAGTTAGCATTGGGAAGCAGTCAAACCATTGATCTAATTCACTATTAATCAGTCGAAAATCAAAGAAGGATTGACAGCAGCAAAATCAAATGAGCCAAAGAGGATATGTTCCTACGAAATCACTATAAAAATATCTTCTAACTCAGCACTTTTGTTCAAACAATGTCGTCTAGAGTTTAGAGGGAACTAACCAAAGTTGCGACAAAAAATGCAATGCCAAGTAGCACCATGTTTATTGTCAAACTCCTTTATATTCTCAGGTATATCCACACTGTAAGTCTCAAATGCCTGCAAAAGTAAATCCCCAGATTTTAATATGTAAATCTTTATTTAGCAACTATATATAATCACTCTAGAGTCACAGAGATACTTCAAGAGACTTTTAAGTCAGGAAGAAGTTTCATAGCCTCGTAAGAAAATTAACATAGTTACAATAAAAGAGATCGAATCTACTCCGTACACAATTGACTTCATATTATCCAAATCAGATCTCCAAAATTAAACACACTAGGATCAAATCGAACTCCAGAGATAGCTCAGTGACTATTTCTGAAATCCCAGGCATGATCATTATTACCTACACCCTAAAGCTCAAGGATCAAGATAAGAAATCTCTAAACTCGAAGAATGGATACACAACAAATTGGAGAAAACGAGAGATAGAGCACCGTCTCGAGCCATGTCACAAACCCGCACTCCGCTACCATCCCCAAAAACCGAGAAAAAAGAAAGACGGCGCAGAGATCTCTAGAGAATGAGATTATGTGGAGAGATCTGTAGAGTGAGATTAGGAAAAAATACTAAAAAGAGGAGAAAAAAGAGGAAACAAATGTAAGTGTTTTAACTTAAACTAGATTTTGGATTTTGCGTATATTTTTTTTTATAAAATATTTTTGTATCATAGTAAAAAATGGTTTATAATAAATATTTATTCAAAAAAAAATTAGTTTATATTATTAAATCTAAAATTATGGTCTAAACGGAATTTTTTTATTATATTATATTAACTATTTTAACATTATAGTTTTAGGTTCTTAAAACTATTTAGGTTTGATTTTATAAAACAAAACAATTTCGATTAGCGAATTTTTTATTTTTGTAACAAATAATTTCAAATACTATGTTTTATAATGCAAGAAATATTTTATTTGTTTGTAATTAAGATTCTTAGGTTTTTGTTTGTTTTTGCCTTCAAATACATATTAGGATATTGGTCCGCACGCATGTGCAGGCATGAACAATTTTAAAAATATAATTATCTAAATACAATACTTAAATCCGTCTTAGATATTTTAATTTTTTGTAGTTTATAAAACTCAAGATTAGTGTTTTGAATTATTTAAATTTAATGGTAAAATATGATCTAGTTTTAACTAAATATTTTGTTATAATAAAAGGTTCATTTATATTTTGAGACAAACTTGAAAAATAATAATTAAATTTGGAAAACACAAAAATTATTTTTCGATGAACAGGTTTTGTAAACTTGACCCTCTATTTTAGATGGTCAAATGGGTCAAACCCGTGGATAGTTGGTTATCTTCTTTGGATTTACAGATCAGACTGCAAAGTTTATCTTCTCTGTCTTTTTTTCTTTGAACAAACATTTTTCATTTTCTTTGTCTTCCTATAATCTTCTTCAATTTAAAGCACTATTTCTTCAAGGATTCTGTCATTGTTGGTTTTGATCTACTCATATGTGCGATTTTTCTACTTATTATTTTACCAAGTAGACTCTATAAATAATTGCAAGATCATCTCCACTTAAGCATCAAGTGCTTCAACTAACCCTATTGCAAGACATGTTTCAGCGAATGTTAGATATAAAACTCCATTTACTGTCCTGATATCTTTGAAGCATATTGGTCCTCTCTGAACACTTAGCAACATTTTAAGGTAGAAAAGCTCACCATATTCTTCTAAAACTTATGGAAGGCTGATAGCATAGGACACATTGTTTTTCTGTTGCGCAGAGAGGGAGCCCCTTCTTAATTTTTTGATGTCAAATCCATTTGTTTGGAAATTTAGTATAGCGATAAAACTTTGCTTCATTACACTCATGATTGGAGTCTATCCAACCTTCAAGTTTCATTTTAGCCATATTCAATTTAGGTAAATGTATTGGTAGAATTGTCATGCCCGCACTTTGAGTTAAGGTTTGATTTGTTTAATATTCATGTATATTGTGATGTTTTATTATATAAGGACCCAAGTATTTAACCTTTTTATTACGTAGTTATTTGGAATGAACGTGATTTTATATGGATCTTTTTGGTTTTTATTAAATAGACATTAAACTTTTTAAATAATGTAGAAGATTATAATTTTGGTTTTTTATTAGATGCACGTTGATTTTTTATGATATCTAGTGTTTGTTAAGAAAAATAACAATAGAGGATTATTAAATTGAAATCTTATATTTATATTTGTTATTATTTTTAAACTAAACTAATTTTAAATTTTGAATGTTCTACATAAGATCATAATAATATCTTATTTTGTTATTATAATTTTGCCACCAGAATTATGTGAAAACATATGTGCACGTAAATGGAACACCGTCTTTACAAAAAATATGAATTATTAGGTAAACAATTTGATCAATGTGATTTTGTTATTATAAATTTGCCTACTGTGAAGTATATGAAAACATATGTGCATGTATTCCATATGAATATAGTATTATAATATATATGTAAATATGTGTACATATGGAAAATCATAGTGGTCCACGACAGACCTATAGTAAATTTTATAGGTATATAATATAGTATTATTCATAGTATTATAATATATATATATGTATTAAAATCATCACGTTCAGTCCATAATTCATCTACTATTACCCATATAGATGAATAATAATATCAGACCATTCGTAGTGCATCTGGCGAATTATTCGAGATTTAGTTATTAGTACATTAAATTTTGTCATCTAATTAATTTTTTTATTTATGGAAATATCACAAAAAAAAATATTTTGCCATGTCATCAACCACATGTGTTAGTAAATGACATGTCACAATTACATCATCATTACACATCATCTTTTCTATGTCACATTTAATTAGAGTAAACAAATGATTTTAACCAATCAGATTAAAACAAACCAGCATTTTTCATTAAACTACATTCTCAATTAATAGGTAGAGGATTTGGATGCAAATGCTCTTATTCATTTTTTTTAAATCAGTATATGGATATTTTATCTGAATACTAATTCTATAATATCTCAAAATTTGAATATTTAAAATGCTAAAAAAATAGAGATTTGATGCAGCATTTGAACCTCAAAAATTAAGAGATTAAACATCTTTTAATTTAAACCACAAAATCAAGTTTTTTTGTCAAAACTATTTTTTCTATCGAAATAAAAAAACCACATTTTTTCACAAAATCGTAAATCACGATGTTGTACTAAAACCAAAAATTTCGATAGAAACTGTAAAAATAGCATTTTCCATCAAACCGTATTTTTCTGCCATAACTGTAAACCCATATTTTTTAACAAAACCAAAAATTATGTTTTCCCTCAACACCATAAAATCGTATTCTATAGCTAAATTTCTAAAATTAAATAGCTTTTGTCAAACCTGCAAAATTGTATTTTGTCTTCAAACCCGCAAACCTGTATTTTCATGCCATATATATATATGTGGTAGTTATGCTAAGATATTATGAAAAATTTTAAATAATTTTGAAATTAAATTAATTTGAATTTTATTAATATCAGATTAATTTATTGGTATTATCTGTTAACAAATTAATATAATTTAATTTAGTTTAATGTATTTGTTAACAGATTAATAATAAGTTTAAATTATCCTTAATGAATCTATAGAAATTTAATGACATATATTGTAAATAACACAGTAACTAAAGGTTATTTTAAAATAATGATTCTCTTTTAATAGTGTAGATATTGATACAGCAAACATAAGAACATGACCAAGAGAAAGATAGAAGATGAAAAATTAGGTCTGAGTAATTCGGGATTTTTATTTGGAGCTACAGAAGTTTAAATTTTTTCTAAGTGTCGCGGGTCTAATTTTTCACTTCTCCACCTAAATATATTATAGCGTTTGTTATGATATATATGCTATTATAGATAAGATAAAATATCAAAATGACACATGAGTTTTTAAATTAGTCATACTACATATCATAGCATTTCTATTATTTAAAGAAACGCTATCTAAAGGTTAGGGGTAAGCTAACCATAGCACTTGTGATGAAAACGTTATCTTTTAGTACTATTAAAACCTAATATTTTTATAGTCTCACTTGCATTCAAAGACAAGGGCAAGGGGATTGCTGAAGAACAATCTTCAAAAGCTGCTGAAAAGAGAGCAGTAGAAAGCAAGGCTGTCAAATCAAAGGCCAATGGAAAGAGCAAAGTTGTAGAGGAAGCCTTAAGCAAGCAACCAAGTTCAAGAGAGTTTGTAGAGCTCTTCAACCAGTGCACTTTCAAGGCTACAAGGTTCCCTTGTGCCTCTACTATGAAGGTACTTGGCATCTATGAAGACTGCAAGATTATCTTTAAAGCAATGGGGCTTGGCATTTCATGGAGTTGGCGCTTCCCTTATATTAGCATCTGAACATTCAGTTTCTCTCCACTTTTCAAGTGGTGAGTTATGAGGAGAGTCAGCTAGGTAATGGTGGTGGCTGGAAATCCTTATGGCTTGACAAGCAGAAGTTTACAGCCACCTTTCGAGAGCTTTCAGCTGCCCTTGGGATGGATTTCTATGCTGATAAGAAGCCTCAGTTCAAGATCTGAATAAGAGAGCATGCCAAGCTTTGGGAAGTGATTGGTATTGATCACTTCACCCCTGGAGTTACCAAGAACAAAGATCTGAGGCACCAAGCTGTAAGATATGCTCACAAGGCACTTGCTAACACCCTCTTTGCAAGGAAAGAAACAGATAAAATCTCATCAAGGGAGATGGACATCATCAATAAACATAGTACTAAGCAAATTCGAAATTCAATAAAAGAGAAAGCAAGTTCCTAGATGTGGTTATTGACTTGGGGAATTCAGAGACTAACTAAAGTTGTTTCAAACAGCATTGATCAAGCAAACAAGCTAGCAATGGTGGTTCCTAGACATAGAGTTCACAAACAAGGAAGCTAAGTCCAATCTCTTGTAAAATAGCCCTTTGCTAAACACCTTAACAAGAAATAACTCTCATCAGTGCTAAAACATTTAACAAGCAATAACAGTCAACTTTATTCATGTCAAAATGCTCCTCAAACAGTCAATCTCTTGAGCCAAGGCCAGCAAATCCTCTATCAAACAAGATCAGCATTTCATCAAACACTTGGTGGGCATAAGAGAAAGCTCAAATCCTAGATAAGTGTGATCAAGACAAATCTTTCTTAAAAACAGATCAATAGAGAGGAAACCATTAAATTAAACACTAAACAAATCTTAATTAATCCTTAAATCCTCTTAATCTACCATATCTAAGAACCCTAAGCAAACTACTCACTAATACTCATGTTTAACACCAAATCACAAGAGAAAAAGATGCTGATCATGATTAAAAGAGAGATTAGAGAAAGATTAATGGAAAATATAAACTTATATTAAATAAAGCAAGAAATTTGTCTTACAAACTCAGAAAAATAACTCAAGAACACTGTTATGACATGACTTGTCAAAAATCCCAAAAAGGGGTATTTATACATAAAAGAAAAAAGCCCTAAAGTAATGGCAAAAGTGTTATAAAGGACAGGTTCGGACTGGGTTCCTATCGGTCAGTTGTGACCGATAGGGTGATCGATAGGGATCCTATCAGTCTTAGGGATCCTATCGGTCTAGAAGATGACCGATAGGGT